GGCAAACCAAGTTCAGTAATTCCCCCACAAAGTTTCTTGTTTCCTTCAACAAACACTATACTTGCATTTGCAAAGATGCCTTCTGTTGAAACCTCTCCTTCCAAATTATTGAAAGACAAATTCAAATACTCCAATGCGAGTTTTTCCATGTATTGAGGGATCTTACCAGTCAAATTGTTGCAGGAGAGATTGATAGCCCGAATTCCTCTCATAGAGCTTAAAAGTGGAGGAATGTCGCCTTGAAATTGGTTTTTCTGCAAGTTAAGGATCTCAAGGCTGGTGCAACCACTCAGGCTACTTGGGATTTTTCCAGAGAGTTTGTTCTCAGATACATCCAGTGTACCTAAGTTTTTTAATTTACCAACTTCTGAAGGTAATGATCCAACCAAATGATTATGAGAAAGGTTGAGTAAAATACTCAAAGAAGAAATGCTGAAAAGTTCTTTGGGTATGGAACCGCTAAGGTCATTGTCATTAATGGTCAATAAAATCAAATTCTGGCAGTTCCCAAGGCTTGATGGTATACTACCGTTTAACTTGTTGTAATCAAGATGAAGCTCATTCAATAATGTTAAATTTCTGAAAGAATCTGGAATTTCTCCTGAGAATTTATTCATGCTAAGATCTATATACTGTAGTTGTTTAAGCAAGCCTATTTCTTTTGGAATTTTTCCAATAAGCTGATTGTTTTCTACTTCAAACCAATTCAAGCCTACAAGATTCCCTAATCCTGAAGGGATTTCTCCAAATATGTTATTACCTCCGAGGCCAAGTCCCATTAGAGTGGTAGAGAGATTGGCTATAGAATCAGGCAATCTTCCCGATAACTTATTGCGTGTAAGACCTAATGAATTCAGATTGCTACAGTTTCCCAAAGAGCTGAAAAAGTTCATTTCATCAAATTCACCACTTCCTAGATGATTGTCACGCAAATTCAATTTTGAAAGCTGTTGAAGATGCCCAAAAGGAACTGTTACTTTACCAAAGAAATTATTTCGCTGCATTTCAATGGTTTTTAGTTTTGAAGCATTGGATAGTGTTACTGGAATTTGCCCCCTAACATAGTTTCCCCATATTTGAAAGTTTGTTAGATAAGGAAGGGTGAGCCCTAAATCCCATGGAAGATCTCCTTCCAGTTGATTTTCAGCCAAGGAAAAAATGGAAAGCATAGAAAGATTATAGATTGATGGGGGGATCTTACCGGAGAGGTTATTTCCTCCGAGTGAAAGCCTTCTTAAGCTTCTCAATCGTCCTAGGGCATCTGGAATCCTACCTCCAAAGTTATTCAAACGTGCAGCGAAGTATATTAAAGATGTAAGATTCCCAAGGAAAGGTGGGATCCCTCCGGTGAAATGATTGTCACGAATAGAAAGATATGTAAGCTTCGACATGGAAGCAAGCTCCACTGGAAGTTTTCCTGCTAACTTGTTGTCATCAAAGTGGAGGACATTGAGGTTGGAGCTACTAGACAAGTTGGATGGGAGCTTTCCTTCAAAGGAATTGTAACTCAGATTTAGTAGCTGTAATCTGAATAGACGTCCGATTTCAGGTGGAATATCCCCATGAAAGCTGTTGTTTGAAAGTCTAATCTCATGAAGAAAGCTCAAGTTCCCTAT